GTCAAAATTTTGATATTGTTATACTTACATACAATATTACTATTAGACAAGTGTGATACCACGGCCTCACAGAAAACCGACGTAAAACAACGCTTTTCGTTGTGTGAATGAGGTTACTGGAGGCCCAATTACCTCCTTTCCCAGTGTACTCAACCCTCGAATCCCCCACAATCTTCATATATCCAATTCCCAAAAGGCCGGTAACGCAGTTGTAACGCCTCTGGTGTTTCAGGTGTCTATGGGCGGCGCCGATTGCTTACCATCAGGTAATCAGTCTGTTCGTTTACTGGCTAATCCCAAAAAAAAAAAATACACTGTTCATCGTGATTTGAGGGGTCAACAGTACTAACTTCTTTATAACATTAGCGACAAGACTTCCCCGGCTGAAGATCTACATCCAACTACTTCTTTATGAATGTTTATTGACTTTTTATATGCAAGTATACGTTTCATAACTTATTTACGAAACAAGAAACTAACAAGGAAAAATAATATAAAAATTTTATGGTTATCTACTTACATGTACGTATGTATGTACATAGGTAGATGCTTTCACTTAAAAATTCTACGGAACCTCATTCAAAATCTTTAATTTTACACATATTCACGTATGCTTTCACTTTGACACTCCCTTCCGCCACACCCAGACAGAAAAAGTGATTCGATGATTTTCCCCAGTTAAAATAAAAAAAAAATCATTGTTTTATCATTAACTCAATGAATAACAGGAAGTTTAGAACGAAACACTCAAAACCTTAACAAATTGAAGTATTTATCTCACTTAAAAAGTATTACGCTGTACTTATTCACACTGAAAACAAAGATAAAGAAATTAATTGTTGAGAAAAAAGTTTATTAAGATCGTGTTCTATTAATAAATTATTTAAATACTTTTGAGTTCGTTGTGTATTAAATTGAAATAAAGGGATGGAAAGGTATTGGAATAGAAACCTATAGTCACATCAGTATATTACATAAAAGTTGTAAACATAAAACCTAGTCCTATAATTGACACTCATGAGAAAAGCAATGTTGAGGACCAATGAATTCTCATCTACCCCTTTCAGTGTACAAAATGATGTTACGTTAGTCCATATCACTCGATATACTCATGGACCATAGAACAACAATAGTCGACTCCACAACATTTAACCTGCCTGAACTTTTATTACCAAACATAGATTTTTATTCAGCATCGTTATTTTTGTAGTAAAATGTTTTCCGTTATCCGTGGTTCAAACACTAATGGAACTGTGATTCCATCATATAAAAATAACGAAATAATAAAAATGTGTTTGTATTTCAATCATGCTACACAAATACTATAATCTGTAAATCTTTGGTCAACTGGATCCATCAAATAATTGTATTTTTTTTGAAGTATTTTGTACCCCTTATAAGTTAGCAGTCGTACTTGATTTTAGAACTGAAAGATTCTTAGACATAGAATGAATGAAAAATTGACTTAAAATCGTTAAAAGAGACTATCACAGTATTGCTACTGAGTATGTTTCAATATTTCAATTATTTGATATTGATAAGCGATGATGTGCTGGACGATTATTAAATCAGTAATCCACACACAATAGATTATATTACGTCATAATTATGCACTTTTATGTAAATCTTAAGAGAGCCATGCTTCGGCACGGATGGGCCGGCTCGACCGGAGTGATACCACGAACTCACAGAAAACCAACGTGTACCAACGCTTGCTTGGCAACACATTTGTACCTCCTCTGTTTCGGGTGTCTAGGGGCGGTGCCGCCTGCTTACCGGTGACTTTTCTATTTGGGTAGTAGTATACAAGTCGTTTATCTATCCAACAAGTTTCGGGTACTATAAATACAACAAGTTTCGGGTACTATAAATTAATTTCTAAGTTATATGCAAAGTAACATACATTGTCCACTTCTAACTCTTTTGCCCCTGAGACCACACTTAAACCATTAAACTGAAGATTAAACAACCTCAAAACAAAGTAAAAGTTCTAACCTAGCAAATTCTAGGCATACTTAGGTACTATAAAACAGACCACAACTCACATTAACATATAGAACCAACTTAGGTACAAAGTTAGTGCCTATCTTAAGTCTAGATTTAGACCAAAAACAAGGTTCAAAGTCGAGTTTCACCTTGCGATTTAGGTCTTAGAGGATGAAATAATCGTTGTTATCAGCCCGTAGAATGTTAATTTAGATATTGATTTTTAATTTAAGAAGATAGGCACTTAAATGTTTATTTAATTTTTATCATTCGATATTATATCAATTGTACACAACAATAAAAAAAACACTTTACGATCTTAGGAACTGTAGAAAAAATCATTAGAAGTATATTTCGTAATTCTTCGTAAATCGCTACAAATTTTACCAACCAGCTCACACGTGAAGTAATCCAGGAAGCAACAAAATTCGTACACGTAGCCGCATACTCCATAACAAAAACAAGCCATTGTACGCCAAGAGGAAAACGGAGTGAATTTCAACCATCATAAGTCGACCCATTTGGAGGAATCAACGGCCGCTTTCCGGTAATGATTTCAATTATATAGAAGTTCAGCCTACGATCTCATTTTGAACGGGAATGAGATAATTTTTCTACAACCGGTAATGACGTTGAATGGCTTGGGTTTAAGACTTTGAACGTTACTTCGAAACGCTGGTGATTTTGGGGGCTTAAATAGCGATTGGTGGAATCAAACGCCCGTTTAGAGGAAGGGACGAAAACATAAACATGGACTGAGTACGATTTCAAAATGGTTGCGTCTGACCTAAATATTAAAAGATATTTTCGAGTGTCATCACACTTAGATTCACGAGAGGACTGATACTTGTTACAACTTAAATGGCTTTGTGAAGTTTCCAGTCGATTTGGATACTTCATCATCCTGACCTTTCACGAACTGTGAGGATCAACTCTCCAAGCCGATATAATTAATAAAATGTGTCAGAATGCCTCAGTGTGTAATAAGTGAGGTTGGTATTTATAGCTCGGTACATTATTACTAAACTTTGTTAGTTTCTCCGCCAATATTGCAACTATTAGCGACTGTGTCGTTTAATGAGACTTGTCAACGTGTTTCATATTACAATTACACCTAATTATGAACTGAGCAAGTTTGTTAGTGAAAACAATAATGTTTTAAACACTTCGAAGTATTTTATGTTGCTCGAAATCGCAAAGCCATGGTGTAATCATCATCATTAAGACGTCTCTATGATACCTACACTTACTAACTGAATAAAACGTCGTTGTTGTATGTAAAATGTAAAATATGCTTTAATGATCAAACTTTTCAAATTTTATTATCATAAGTATAACCTACTTCTTGTCTTTTATCCTCTCGCAAATGCAGGCAATAAATTTCACCAGCGTAACAGCACATAAATATGAACAAACAAATAATAATTTTTATACACATATATTATTTGATAAGGAATGCTCAAAATATAATTTATAACCCAAATTGATTGCTCCAAATCTAAAATAGGTCAAAGAGATAATACAGAAAACGAATTGTTTTGGCGTTAACACCAAGTAATGAATGTTTGTTTAGTAAACGAACGATTAAACAATTTACGAGTTGGCCAAAAGTGCCCCGTTGATATATTTGTATCGTTTTGTTTATATTTTGGTTTAATAAATTTATTTTTCTGGTTTTCAAATGGGTTTTTGGACTTTGTAATGGATTTTAAATTGGACATGGACGAGTAGATAAACAAAAGATGTCTATCTCATAATTAATAAAGAATCTGTCCGGAAAAGGGTGTTTGAAATAAAAAAATAACCAAAGATTTTTTTTAGCTGTCTAAGACTAAGTGCCATACTGCCTAATGGTAGACCTTACGACGCATATAAGTAAACATTTTCAAGTTAGAATGTGGCCTGTTTTTTTTTGTCAAAGCAACAGCACACGCACCTTCAAACCTTTAAGAAAAGGGCGTAGGTACATCTTTTTATAAGACTGGCAACGCACCCCTGACTCCTCTGGTGTTGAGGGTGTCCATAGCGACGCTGATCGTTTACATAAGGTGATCCACTCGTTTGCGCTGATCATAAGATACTCCATAAAAAAAAAACAAAAAACTGTCTTACAATAATACTGTCTTACTTATGCAATATACATATACATTACTTCAATACCCCACTCCAGTCTAACCATGAAAACAAAAACGAAATGCCATTTGCCATATATTATTTTTATAACATTGTTTCTTACGGCCTTGAGTGTCGTGTTGCTAACATTTGGTCCCTAAGGGTATGTCGGGAACATTCCTCCCCTTAATATCTCGTTCCATGGATTTCTGTGGCCCTGGTACATATGTTGGTATGCCGTGTCATTCAAAGGTGCGTCTTTGACAGGCTAGCCGAAATATGTGAAGTAGGTTTTGCTAAGACACTAGAATAGTCTATTTCTAGAGTAGTCTCTAGGAATTGGGAATTCATTCTCAATTTGAGAATCATTGTTGACTTTCAAATTTCCCGACAGCAGACTGTTGACTTCTCAACAACTTGCAGTTTTTCTTTGAAGGAAAATAAAGAATTTTAATTTGTCTAAGAGTGATTTTTGTAATAAGAATAAGCGAGTAATGCAATCAATAGGCATTTTAAAAAATATATTTTTGTTGCAACGTACTAGAAATGAAATTGAGATGAGTAATATGGGGCCTTGTGTATCATTAGAGCAAGTGTTTAGAATGTGATTTATTGCTATGAAGTTCATGTCAGGCGCTTCAAAAGTAGGGGAAAGGAAGGCAAAGCGGACCACTTAACAAAAAACAACTATAAAAAAGAAACTATTAGGTTTTATTAAACTTCTTCAAAGTAATATTAATCAACATTCTTTACTCTACATTAGGTACGAATCAGACTTTGATATAATCACAGACAATGAGGATATTAGTTGATTTCTAATACCTTCAATATGTCCGTTTTGCCTTCATGTGGTAGGCAAAATGGACCACACATGAAGGCAAAACGGACTTACATAAAATTAATCAGTTAGCACATTTTTCACACATAAATACTGTCTCCTCGTCCTCATCTTCGACTCCTGCGCAAAGGCAGTGTGCCCATAAACGACATACTGGACATTGCACCCAACCCCCGGTTGATTCTGAGTACAAATGAGAACAATACAGACACTCAGTGTCATCTTCCTCAGATGAACTATAATTGCTTTTAGTTTTTGACCTTTTTACATCAGACATCTTGCTAGCTTTTCCTTTTTTTGAAATTATTCGTTTATTTTCCTTGATTTTCTTTTTTCCTGTCTTACTTTTTGCTTCACTTTTTGTGGGCTTCATGTCTTTCTGGAAAATAAGTGCTTTCTTGATCTTCTCAGCCTGTTTATTTTGAGAAGCTTCCACTTCAAGGCGGTAGGGTGATGACGTAATAATTGCTGTTTTACCTCGTTTGACGTTGGCTCTTTTAGTCTTAGTTGTTTTCGGGAAAGGCATTATATCTTTTGGTCCGAAATGAAATACACTGCTAGTTTCATTGTCCATAATTGTAGAGGAAGTGGAAAGTTCAGTATCACCTTCATTCAGAAGTGATGGCCGTGAAACTGTTAGTTCGCCAGCATTTTTTGTTGGAGTGGTAGGCAATGCAGGTTGGTTGTCAATTTGACTATCATTTAATATAGAAGGCGATGACACCCTTGAATCAATATCCTCGATGGAAGGAGTAGTGGATGCTGAAATATTTCCAAAATCGTATGCTGCCTCGTTAGCCCTTGATGTCGAGGGCTGGTTATCTCGTGATACTAAGGGCTGAAGATCTTCGGTGCTCAAAACTGGTGGTGAGGGCTGACCAGCTTTTGATGTTGACGGCTGAGGATCTTTGGCGCTTGAAACATCTGTCGAGGAATACGGGTTCGAACTTGGATTCGGTAGCTCGATGTCAGTAGTTGCTGCTGCTAAAAAGTCAGCTTCTGTGAAAATATCACGATTTAAAGGCCAGATTCCTGTGGCACGAAAGGCATTGAAAGCAGTTGTCATAGTAGCAGCTTTCTGAAAAGCTCTGTCAACCAATTCTGCAATCTGAAATTGTGTAATAACTTTTCCTGGGTTCATCCTCAACCAATTCTGTGCTGCTTCCGAGTAATAAGTAGACAAAGGTTTCATAAAAGCCACATCCAATGGTTGGAGACGGTGAGTGCAGTGCGGTGGGGTTGCCAAAATTTGGACTCCATTCTCTCGCCCTAGATCAATAATGTCAAGATTCATAGTATGACTTTTATGTCCATCTAATATCAACAGCACCGGGTTGTCTTTAGAAGCTCTAGAAAAAACAATGAATTTCCGAAACCAAGAGGTAAAAATATCTTTCTGAATCCAGCCACTCTCATGGCACTCAGCCCAAGATCCACGAGGTGCATTATTCATCAATTCAGGCTTCATCCTTTTACGGGGAAAAATAAACAAAGGTGGCATATAGGACCCATCTGCTCCAAAACAAAACACTACAGTGACTAGTTGACCCCGCTCAGCAGAAGTTAATAAGCCGATTTGTTTTTTCCCTCTTGTGCCAATAATTCTTGATATACTCTTGGGGACTGTTGTGATTCCTGTCTCATCTACATTAAAAATTCTATCTGGAGTCAGATGATAAGTTTCAATTGCATGTGACAGCAAATCAAAAAAATTATTAACTGCAACTTGATTGAAGCCAGCTGCTCGGGCTGCAGATGTTGGTTCAGGTTTACGCAAGCTAAGATCTGGGTTACGTTTTAAGAAGTTTTCTAACCAAATTCTACCTGCCATCTTCTTGCAAGTATCAAAATTGTGACTTATGTTATTTCTCTCAGCTAGATCATATGCCAACTTCTTTAGATTTTCCGTGGTTAATCCAAACAAACGACTTTCCATCTGTTTCACATAAGTAGCTAATTCAGTCTCTTGAGCTTTAGTAAAAACTTGTTCAAATCTACCCAGTTTCTTATTTGTGGCAATATCAATATTTTGAGTAGCCTTATATTTCTCTAATTTTCTCTTCAGAGTAGTCTTTGGTACCAGAAATTGATTAGAAGCTTTATAGAGGCCCATTTCTCCAGCTGCCACTTTCTCAATTGCATTTTTCATGCTGGCTTCATCCCAAGAATTTCGATTGGATTTTCTTTTATAATTATTTACCATCTGAAACCAAATCAAAAAAATTAATGAAAACATTATTTTCTTCTACTTTTATTGCATTTAGATTTATTAACATTCACATTACTTTATAGAAGGCAAAACGGTCCCAGTGAAGGCAAAATGGTACACCGGTCCATTCTGCCTGGGTCCGTTTTGCCTTTTTGGTACTTACAAGAAAATCGAATAATTTAAAGGTTATAAATCTAAGAAACAGTTGGCTTACTTTGTTATTCGTTTAATCACATATCAATTTACATGTGGTTATCATAAGATCACTTTATTACAACCCTAATCAAACTGTAGGCTAATTGAAAAATGCAATTTTTACATCAAAATCTAAAAAAATCTACTTACCTTGCTAAATCGATGCACGTGCGGCCGGTGGAACTGAGTACACTGACCGAAAGCGGCAACATGGCTCCCAATAATTTCACGTAACAATCAGATAGATGGCGTTACATGTTTCATTACAATCCAGGTGGACCTTTTTGCCCACAGGGTCCGTTTTGCCTTCCTTTCCCCTATGTTCATAAAATTAAGTGTAATAAATAATTATAATAGGTATTTTATTAATGCATGAATATTATTTACTTGGTATTACACAATCTTATGAGAATATTTTGAAAATCTTTTCGAATTTTCTATTGCCCCGTTTCATAAAAAAATAAGTTTGTCTGAATTATATCTGACTGCCTGACATAGGTACCAACATATATTACTAAAAACAAGTGCTCTTTCATATTGATTTAGGGTAATTTGTATCAGATACCCATAAAATTTTCCCCTAAACTCGTAAAAGCGTAGTCCCTAGCCCAGAGGTAGTTTTCGTCGTCCAAACTTTACGACCTGTCTGTCGATAAAGGGATGAACAATAATTTATAAATTAATGGCGTTGAAATACTGCATACATGGCACATAAGTTTTCTGCGACACAAATACCTAGTTTTATGGAAATAATAATATTCGGTGCTTTATAAGACGCTTAGTGGGAAAGTCAAAGTGAAAGTCTAAGTACGTATTTCAATCACTACATATTATAAACCAAAGTCGCTTTCTCTGTCCCTATGTCCCTTTGTATGCTTAAATCTTTGAAACTACGCAACGGATTTTGGTGCGGTTTTTTTTAATAGATAGGATAATTCAAGAGTAAGGTTTTATATATACATGCATATTGCACCCGTGCGAAGCCGGGGCGGGTCGCTAGTTAAATTATAATTTGATATTTTTGAAATGTTAACAAATACAAAATAATTAAAAATTGTTAGTCTGCTGTCAGTGAAGCTAGGTGCTTAATCCGAAATGTAGATCTATTCGAATGGAGAAGAACGAACAAGAAACTCCATTCGTTATTCTTTTAAAAAACAATAATATGTTTTACTAGCGACCCGCCCCGGCTTCGCACGGGTGCAATATGTATATACATACAAACCTTCCTTAAGAATCACTCTATCTATTAAAAAAAACCGCATCAAAATCCGTTGCGTAGTTTTAAAGATCTAAGCATACATACGGACATACAGCGAAAGCGACTTTGTTTTATACTATGTATTGAT